CTTCCTTTAGAGAAATGAATCTAGAGCCCTAGACAGTATACTTAGCATTATAGTCTCCTGCTCCTAAAAATCTTTTGCTTAGCTGTAAAAAAATTCAGTTAAAAAAGAATACTGCTGTTCTGTAATATTTTGACGCCAGTATATTGCAGAAATAGCTGTTCCCATATCCCATATATATGGATTCTGTATGTTAGGTGTTATAAAACTCAAATCCTTTGATTTTAAAATTGTTATATTTGGTTAGGTGAGTTTCAGATATATACATTATATCAATCGCTTGCTTTTTTTTTAATACCTGCAGTTTATTTCTGTGATGACATAAACCATTAGGATTTTAATAACATATATTGATAGAATTTCCTTTTTTAATTAAGGTAAATACTAAACAGCCCCTGCAATAAAAATTAAATTTATTTTTTTCCTAAATCACACACATTTAGTTTAATTAATAAATTTAATAAAGTTTTTAATTTTAATTAATTTAATAACTATAAAGTAGTAAAGTTAAACGAGTTCAACAAGTGATAAGAGATAGCATTTTAATGAACAATTTTTTAAAAGAACACTGCCTGCCGGTGTTCGTAAACGTAAGAACATATGAATTTCATAATTTCTTTTGTTATAAAATATTTTTATTCTTTATAGAATATGAATTAAATATGTAAACATTGGCATTATCAACTGAGCTAGATTTAGCTTTTTATTTGATGATAAAGAATTGGTACACAAAATAAAATTTGGAATAGAATATATGAGTTGAAATTAGAAGAGCTGAGTTGTTTTTGTTCACTTTTTTATTGTTTCTTTTAAGCCTGGTAAAGATAATACAATACTGAAAAAATTAAATAATATTAAAACAAAATTTAGAAGTCCAGACAAAATTAAGCAACAACACTATAAATACTCCACTAAAATAAGCATATTCAGTATTTATAATATAATATATTTTACAATCTATATATAAATTATTTTATTTCTTAAAAATTTAAATGTGTTTTTTGTAACAAATTCACAACTTTATTTTCTTCATTTGTAACAGTCGAGGACCTATTCACAGAACAGAAAGAAATTGTTTTAATGGTATCAGACATATTTGAGAGAAGTTTTTAGAAGAAAATGCAGTAACAATAATTATTATTACAAATAAAATTTAAAAAAACATTTTCTTGATTATTTAAAAATAATTTAGAAGAAAACCTTTTAATTTTAGAAGGTTTATTCTAAATATATTAAAACAAGTAAGAAAAAATATTGTCAAGAATTTCGCTTTAAATTAAGGCGGTGTTAGACGGTAAGCAAGCACCTGATTTTGTTTACATTTGAACATGTAAACAAAATATTTTCAAAAGTCCAGTCGGTAGTTGTTTGTCCGCAAGTGCAGTGAAATTCTGAATTATCTTTGTTTAAAGCGAAATAATTAAAAAGTTTGTAATATGTTTCTAAACATATTACAGCGCCTGTACAGCAGGAGAAATCAAATGCGCAATAAAAGGTGGCGAGTTCGTCCTATTAATGTGGATCGTGTTCTACATGGTTATTACCGAAAAACGTTTTTAGCCATAAAAGAAAAAGATAACGAACAATTTTTTCGTCATACACGGATGTCTAAAGAAATATATACTTTGTTATTGAAGTTAATAGCTCCTTCTGCGACAAAATTTGGACAGCAAATAAACGCTGATGAACGTTTACTCTTTTGTAAGTTACATGTACTGTTTTATTAGTAATTTTAGTAAAAATATCACGAACATTTTTTAAAGACATTTGGCACATGGCGTCCCTTTACAGAGTTTAGCATGGAGCTATAAATTGAGAAGAACTACAGTTACAAACACCGTGTTAAAAATGTGTGATATCATTTGGCAACTACTATGACCAATATATTTAAGTGAACCTACAGAAGAGCAATATCGGCATATTGCATATTTTATTTAAAATTGAAGATAAATTGTTAATGATATTATCTTTCATATGTTTAAATTGAAAATAAAGAAAACACTATTTTCATTTATATATGGAAAAAGTTTTTATTTTCTATAATTTTAATTGTATTATAAGAAAAAGAATCAACTGTAAACTTCAAAAGCTCCAACCGGTAGTGGTTTGTTCTCAAGTGTAGTGAATTTTTATATTTCTATATATATTTTTTGTACGAATGTACTTTTAAAGTAAAACAAATAAAAACATTTTTAGTGAAATATTTTTATATATGACTAATATCTATTATATTGCTTATCTCAATAATTTTGTAATATATATTTTAAAATTGCATTTTTTATATTATTTATTATTATTAAATAAATATTTCTCTTCAATATTTATTATAAATTAAATACTTTCTACTGATTATTGATCAACATATTAGTTAATTGATTATTGATATTATAAAATAAATAATAACTATTATGAAATATAATTACCTATTGTAAAAATATTAATAAAATAAATTTATTAAAATATTTTCTGCTGATTACAATAATTTACAGCCAAAAATTTCCAAAGACGAGACTTATATTTCCTATAGGGAAATTTTCCGTAGAACTTGAAAATCACAACGATTTTTTTTCCTGTGTACCGTTTTCGAGTTATTTGTAAAAAACCGTTATTTTGACTTTTCTCTAAACATCACCCTGCATATGGTCCCGTTACTTTATTTTTTAAGTTACCATAGTAGTGCGTGATATATCAAATTAAAGGTGAAACTTGTACGAACATTTTAAGCTACATAACATTAATGTAACTTATTTAGTTTCGCTGCTATAGCTGAAAATGTACAGATTAAAAATGTTTTTTTTACGCTTTTTTTAACTTTTTCGATTTTCAATGTGATGGGACTCCCACAAAAATATTTAAAAAAAATTCTTTTTTTGATTGATGTTAAGGCCACATTTCGAGTGGCTTAACATAAAAATCGAATAAAAATTTCAGAAGTTACTCGTCATTTTCCAAATTTGCCCAAAATAGTGGTTTTTATTAACAAATCAGAAAAATCATTTTTTCGAATTTATTTTTTAAAATTTAAAGTGCAAATCTAAACAGTATTAAATAAAATTGTACAAATTTTATTTAAAAATTAATATTATTAAATATTAATATATTGCATTTTATAAAAAAGTTCTACGGAAAATTTCCCTATAGGAAATATAAGTCTCGTTTTTGGAAAAAAAACTTTTAATTATTTGTAAACAAGTGAAATAGTTGTCTAAAATATTTAGAATAAATTGTTATTACGACCAATATTTATTTAGTTTTTATATTTTTTACCGGGCTTAGGTCGTTTATTTAACACATTATTTTATGAAAATGCTTTATTAAATAAAATAAAAAATTATAAGTAATAATAAAAATTAAATATAATAAAATATTTAACACTGTTTATAAAGTGTAATTTTTTGTTTTCTTTAAAAAAAACATTTTCATAAAGTGATGTGTTGAATAAACGACTTAAGCCCGAAAAAAATATAAAAACTAAAGTATTTAAACTTTTTTTCGCATCAAAAGTATTTACACAACGCAAGTTAGCATTTATTCTGAGATTTCCTTTAGTAAGTGCAGCCATTAGCTTTTGTCGCAGACTAAACCAATTTAGGAATTTTAAAATTTTAGAAATTATTCAGGAAAATGGTAAAAACTATGTAATTATCATTTGAAAATCGATCCGAGGTTGGTACCTAATATAAGAGTGGTATTTCAGCGACAAACTTGGTAAAGTTATGCAAAATTTTACAGTAGAAAATTGAAAAATTTGAAAAGAACTGCACTCAAATCTGCCATAAATAAAAGGGAATGCAGAAGATTATTAGAAGCAGTCGTAGAAAATCCTACAATAAGTGCTGTCAAAATTGCAGCATCATCGGAAAAGTTGATTGGCAAGATTATTAGCGCTGCTACACTGCATCGTATGTTGAAAGATGTTAATATCAATACCTATGTGATGCACAAAATAATCAATATTACTCCAACGACCCTATCAAATTGTCTCTCATTTGCTTTAAAGTATTTTAAGGAACCTATACAGTTTTGGTACAATGTGTCATAGACAGATGAGTCTGCACTTCAATTCTAGGGATCATTTGGTAAGCAATTCATGCAGTTAGGACAACGCCAAAAGAATAAAGCAGTGCAGTTACTTAATAGATTTGAAAGTGGCACGGTAAAGTTTTGAAGATGTTTATTATGTAATGGATTTGGAGATTTGGTACCGACAAATGGCACCTTAAATCAGTTCAGTTATATTGGTATTTTAATAACAATGCTTCTACGTCAGAAAATAGACACTTTCCAATCAATTTTTGGATTCTACAACATTACAATGCACCATATCATAAAGGATATAGACTTAAAAAATTTTTAAAAGAGTTAAATCATGCTGTTCTTTTTTGGCCTCCATAGAGCCCTGATCTTAATGTCATTGAAAATGTTTGGGATAGGAAAGAACTATAGATAAAAATCCAAAAAATAGTGATACCATAATTGAAATCAATGAAATTCAGTCCAAATTAATTTGCAACTTGATTGAATCAATTTCAGTTAGGTTGCGTGTAGTTATTGATGCCAAATGTGGCTTAACTAAATATTGAAAATATTAATTAAATAAACATAAGAAAATTTAAAAAAAATTCATTAATTAAAAAGAAAAAAATGAAATTCATATTTTGTGTGAATACTTTTGACGCGAAAAAATGTGTGTAAATACTTTAGACAACTAATAAGCATCAGTGCATTTGCTTCTATATATAAACAGTTATCTTTTCAAAACTTTTTTGTGGTTCTGCATAGATTAAATTAAGTTACAATAAAATTTTTTTTTGGAACTTACCATCAGCAATAACAACAATAACAAAAGACTGTTTTAGTGTAATATGCACAAAAATTTTAATTGTGTAAATACTTTTGACCTGGGCTGTATAGCGTTTAATATGTTTTACATTTAATTTTATTTTACTCGCATTAAAGTATAACGATAAAGTATGTTTCTTAATTAAAAATTTTTTACATACCATTAAAATGGGTGGCTGACTCTTTGACGCTGCCATTTATAGACCAAAACATAATTTGTTCTTTTACAAAATCTAGCATACATTTTTCACAACTGTTTTCATATTTTAATATGAAATTTTCCATATCTCCATTGCTAATTGAATTATGAAGATTTGCTATTACACTTGCATCGATAGATTTTTCTTGTGCAGTTAAATTCTGCACAAACAGCGAAAAAGTGATTAGATCTTTGTTTGATTTATTAACGCTCGTTGACATAAGCGGAACAGATGAAGTGCTATTAGACACATTTTTTTTCTTTGTCTGATCATTATTGAATGTTTTAGTTATATTTTTGGATAACACATTTATTTTGTCACCGTTTAATTGATTAATTTTAATGTTATCAGAATTTATATGTATGTCGTTATCGCTAGTTTGGTTTGCATAATCGTAAACGTTGCTGGTATCAACAGATTTTAAGTGATATGTTAGAAGCATTGAGTTTAAAGAATTTAATTTCATTAATAAAATCACAATAATTGTAATCCACTTATATATAAAATTCATTTTGCACGAGGTACTTATTAAAGGTTTCATCGATAGATTTATCTTAGAGCTTAAAACTATTCTTTTTGGGTTTTTAAAATATAACTGTTTAACGGAATTATTTGCAAGAAATATAAATACAATATGTTTTGATTCATAGTTCGTTACAAAATAAGATCAATTTATTATAAGCGTTACATATAAACACGTTAATTAAGCCATATGTATATTTTTTTATACATTCTAAACATATTTATTAATTATAGCATTACCGCCATTTGTTAAAATTAAACTATTTAAGTGATATATATTTTGGTGCTACTGACTCAGTCAACAAAAGCGGACAAAATTTTTGAGCTATGGCAACATCATGCACGTTATCAATATCGGTAATTTGTTTTTGCTGCGTTTTCTTATCATAAATATTGGATTTTCGGCTTATCTTTTTCAGTTTGCGTTATTTATGTATATTTACAGATATATGTATGTGTATATATTTCTGTTATAAATAATAGGAACTTCATTTTGAGTAAGTTACAACTACAGTCAGTGCAAAAAAATAGTCTTATAAAATAATAGTATATAAAGAAATTCATAATGATACAATATTTATAGTACTATGTTCACTTTTTGCAACTATCGTGAGGTCAATTTTTGTCCACAACATACTTTGTGTTGCATCCCTTTTTACTATTTCTATTAAATCAATTTTCACAATCCAGCTACTGAAACTAATAGCTATTGCAAAAATGCAAAAAAGCAGCAACATCAAGTCATCTAAATTATTATTTAAGTATGTAGTTCTAATTTTAACAACATTCATCCTACATATATTGTATGATAAATATATATTCTCCTATCAAAATAAAACTGAAAAAATAATAATTAAATTTGTCTTATATTATATTTTGCAAAAATATTTTATTAATATAATATATTATATTTTGCAAAAAGGTTCAAAAAAGGATACAAGGACGGAAGTCGCGACACAATGTCCTTTACAAACAACATCCGGTTGACGATAACATTAAGTTTAGATTATTTATCATTTAAAATAAACAACATTATAAGCCGTTTTTGTTGCTTTGTCTATTGGTTTGTAAGGCAAACTTAAATTGATAAATATGTGGATCAATTCCACATAACATGCCCTTTGATTTTAAAATGCGGAAATATTTATTATATTTGCTGTAAATGGCTTACATGAATCCATTTTTCGCATGAAAAATTAACATAAAACAAAAAACTTTCCTACAAAATTTTGACATTGCAAATTGTGTATTAATCATACGTGCAAACTGGTAACAACATATTTTTATTGTTCTGAATATAAAACCTGGTAGTATTTGAAATATTAATAAGAAACACATTATTTTATTAAATAATATTGTTTGAAATATACAAATCCAAATTACAAAATCGCAAATGAATTCATATTTTGAATAAAATCTTTGAACGAGATACACTAAACCGTCTCATTTATTGCCAACTGTTATTTTCCGCACTAATTTTCAATAATTGAATTCGCAGAACAGTAAAAGTAGCAACAAAAATATAATATATGTATTGTAGAGTGTCGCAGGCTCTTCAAAATTGTCTCTTTTGGGCTTTGACGAAAATGTACGTCAAATAAAGTATCATAGAAATCGTATTAATTTGTTGCTAAAAGACACAAATATTGACTTTTATTACTGAACAAGATTGCTTTGCCTAAGTGACGAGGCATGTTAGCCTCCGCTCTCATGACCATATTTGAACCGCCATATGTTTTTCACACACAATTTTAAAATTTCCATTGAAAGTAACAACACTTTTGCTCATGTGGAGCCTATGACACTCTACATACATGACCCTCAATCTTACACGTATACACACATTCTTTTACAACCGAATGTATTTTGTCAAAAAATGACCTCATGATCTCCGATTTGGTTGAAGTTTTTTTATGAGTTCCTTTCATAAAATAAAAATACCCGTATCTTGCGTTTTAAAGATAATAGATTGAACTCTTGAGAAATTGTTAAGATTGTTTATATTTAAGTACTAATATTAATCGTTAAGTTTCAAAGACTAATGAAAAATTAAAATTAGACTTTAATGAAAAATCGAGTGTATGTCGTATAAATTTCAAAAAAAATGCTGTTCGTGAACCAAATACACAGTATATTGGGATTGCACCTTTTTGAATATTTGTTCAAAAAAAGCGAAATGCATTGTAACACCACCCTTTTGTAAACACTTTTAACTTCGTTGTTGTTCGTGGTAGTTCGATTCGGGCACGTGACTTTTTATTTGCTACAATTGAAAAACTTTAAAATTAAATAAAATCGATCTTATAAAATTAATTAATGTGTATTCTTAATCAAAAATTGGTCCATCGAGCCAGATTATATTTGAATCATATTTAAACCCTATTTTGTTATGGCAGAGGAAATAAAGAGGTTAATGAACGTGAGTGGACTCCTTAAGGACTCAATTACTCGAGTACTTGCTTACGCAATCAGTCCTCCAGAAAAGGTGTCCTACGATGAAATCATAACTAGGACTGACAAACTGGAAGATATTTGGCAGTTTGTTAGGTCAACGGATGAGATGTACGCGTTTCGAAATGTTCCTGACTACGTCGACCCTGATTTCGATTTCGCTACATATGAGGAGAAGTACCTGTCCACTCAAAACTGCATGCTTGCGTTGAAACGGGGTCTTGCACCAAATGTACGAACTAAAGATGATGATATCTTAATAAACTAGTGGAACAGCAAGCATCATTTTTAAAACAAATTTCATCCACTTTTAATGTTTCATCATTTCAGGGAAATGACTTACCTAAAATTAACATTCCGCACTTCTCCGGAAAATATGCAGATTGGCCATCATTTAGAGATTTATTCACCAGTTCAAAGCAGACTCAAAGCAGAATCTTTCTTTTCCGCAAAAATTTCACTACTTGAAATCTCTATTGAAGGATGAAGTTGCTGCTCTTATCAAACATATTCCAGTTACGGAAGTTGCTTACAGTACAGTTTGAGCGTTTTGATCGCCCTTAGCACATCGTCACGGCATATATTGAAAACTTTATAGAGCTTTTATCAACATCGCAGGAAAATTGTACAATTTTGAGGAGAATTTCTGATAGTGCAAACTAAACAATAAGGGGCCCCGACGCAGTAGGCCAAACCAATCGTGATTGTTGGCTTATCCATTTGTTATTATCGAAGGTTGACCCTGAATTTTATCGAAAATGGATACATGAAAGTCGAGGGGATGCTTCGCCGTCAATCTCTGAATTTTTTGAATTTTTGACCAAGTATAAATCTAATTTAAATTTAAAACCTCAGGACAAATCAAAATCATCTCTCGTTTCTGTCGACAAAGGCTTACAAAAATGTGTTAAATGTAATTCAACTGAGCACAGTATACCTAAATGTAATGCATTTCTATCGATGTCTATTGATGAGCGCCGCGATTTTCTGAAAAGTCAGTCGCTATGTTTTAATTGTCTCAGATCGGGACATTCATCACACACACGTAATTCTAAATTCCGATGTAGAGACTGCCATAAGCGCCACCACACTTTTGTGCATAAGTTGCACGTTGATTCGCCAACAACAATTGCTTCATCAACATCAGCATCCGCTGCGATATCCTCTGGCAAGCCATGGTCAACTGTTGCTAATATTTCTCGTCCAAATATTTTGAACCCCACAACTTGTCTGGAATCTTCGCCAACAATAACCACTCCAATTTGTCATCAAGGCAGTAGATACCTGTTACCAACAGCACTTGTTGACGTTCGCAACACTCAAAATAGATATGTTACATGCCGTGTCCTTCTTGGTAGTGCGTCGGAAAAAAGTTATATTTCGGAACGATGTGCTCGGGCCCTTGATCTAAATCGTTCACCTTCCTGTATTGCTGTGTCTGGATTTTTTTCTGTTAAGGCCGAGACTACACGTGGCTGTTGTACACTCTATATGAAATCACAGGTTTCCCAAAACACACTAGATGTAAGTGTTCATGTCTTGAGCAAGATCACATCAGCAATTCCTACGTCGCAAATCAATACTCCTACTATGGAGCAACTCAAGAACTTGAATCTTGCAGAATTTTCGACTCTTCTGGTAATCCTATTGCTGGCTCATTTCAAGATACTAGCGGAGTTTCGCGTAACAGTACGTTGCATACAGGTCCAAGTATACAACGAAATTTATTTAATGTTTGCCTTCGCTTTCGTATACATAAATATATATTCTCTGCTGATATAGTAAAAATGTTCCGCCAGATTTGGGTATCAGAAAATCATCGAAATTATCAACGAATTCTTTGGAGAGAAGATTAATCAGAAAACCTAAAACATTTCCAATTATGTATGGTTACTTATGGTACATCATGCGCACCATTTCTCTCTGTAAGGGTCCTCTAACAGCTTGCAAAGGATCACCAAAGAAGATACCCTCTCGCTGCGAAAATCATTCTTGAAGATTTTTACGTTGACAATGTGAACTAGAAGGAAAACGTGACGAGCTAATTCAACTTTGTGCGGAAGCAGGATTTGAACTTCGAAAATGGGTTTCTAATTGTAGTTCCATAACCTCTAATTTTTATGATCAGTCTGATCACTGTTTTTTGAAGGATGAGCTAAATGATATGACGAAGGTTTTGGGTATCTATTGGAAGCCATGCGAGGACGTAGTTGGATATAAGGTTTGCTTAGATGAAATTCAAAAATTAACTAAGCGACAAGTATTATCAGACGTATCACGGATTTTTGATCCATTAGGCATTCTTGCTCCTGTTATTGTTCAATTCAAGATCTTTTTCTAGGAATTATGGCTCACTAATTTGAAATGGGACGACCTTCTCCTAAACGTCATGAAGACTTAAATAATGTGGCAAAATTGTCATTGCCAAGATGGGTGTGTAACTCTCTTAATTACAGTGAGTTACATGGA